TAAATAATAATTTTTAAAGTTTGTTTAAATATTTTCCTTCTGATATAACAAGATATTATCTAACTATTCATTCACTAACTTTGATATCTTGTTTTTTAAGTTATTACTATATCTCACCTATTGTTATATTGTATTTATTCTCTGTTCAAGTTATAATTTTTTTATTTTGTACTATACTTATATTATATTTCTGATCTAACTTTTTTTGATTATTTAGATCTTTATTTTTTTGATATTTTTAAATCTAATAAATTATTGTAGATTTATTATAATCAATATAAAAAGCTATTTTTTCAAGATTCATCTTTAATTCTTTTGGATGTTAATATAAAAAAACTATTTTATATTATTTATGTAATGGAAGAGATATTTTTTGGTAATACAAAAATCAGATCACTATTTAGCCTCTTTAAAATAGTTTTATTAATCTAAAATAATAATAATAATCAGTATTAATATTATTCTTTCTCAAAAAAAAATTAAATTATTATTATATTATAATTTTGGAAAATGATAGGAGATCAATTACTTATAATCACTACTGTATAAAGAAAAATTTAAGTCTTTACAATAAGCTAATAATTTTAATAATTTCTAATTAGAAATTTAATATAATAGAATATATTATTAAAATTAACTTTTTATACTTAAAGAATATTTGAGAAATTATATCTTTATTAAAGAAATTTATAAAGAGATATTTTAAAAATAACAATAAAAAAGAAAGTTTAATATTATAAAAAAACTTTAAATTTAATTATTATAAAAAAATTAAAATTATTAATCAAGTTAAAAATAATAATATTATTATTAAATTTACTTCTATTATTAATAATATTATTAATATTAAGATAAAAAATCAAAAGTTCAAAGAATTTAATTATGTAAAATTAAATTACAAAAAAATATTTAAATTTAATTTAAGTGATAAAAAAAATAATAATAATATTAATAATAAAAATTATAAGAAATTATCATATAAAAAGTTTTAAAGAATATTATAAGTTAAATAATTTTATAAATTATAAAATAAGCAAAAGTAAAAAAAATATATAGTATATATAATAAGAAAAAATATAATATATAAATATATTTAGCAAAAAAAAAAAATTTATTATTAATTAATTTAAAAGAAAACAGAAAACAAGAGAAAAAAAAACAAAAAATTAAAAAAAAGATTAATTTATTATATAACTTAATATATTTTTAATTAAATTTCTTGATTAATAAATAAATGATCATATATTTTATTTTAAATAAATTATATATTTTATTTTATATTAGTTAATCATATATAAAACTATATGATTATATAATATGATATTGAATTTTACTAATGTGATTTATTAAAGTTAATATTATATAAGAGAATTATTATATATAAAGATTTGACTGTATAATAATCTTAATTCTTATCAATTAGTATTTTAATTTTTTGATCATTTAGAATTTTTATTTATTTATCAATCAGTATTTAGAATTTAATCAATTAGTATTATTTAATTTTTTGACCAATTAGAATTTTAAATCTATAAAAAGTAATATAAAATCTAGAATTATTATATATAGTGGCAATCAAAAATAATGCAACACTTAAATTTTTTATTAATTATAATTAGTAAAAAATTTAAGCATTGTATTATTTTTGATTGCCACTGTATAATAAAAATATCAGACTGTAAATCATTTGATAAATAATATTTCAATATCAATAAATCCTTCTTTATATATATAACAAAAAAAACTTTTAACTTTTACTAAATATGATTGCTATTATATTTTATTATTTTTTATTTTATCTATTACTTTTTCGAATGGATTTAATTGGTAAATAAATTCACGTGAGCGTGAAATTTAAAAAAAATCTTGCATAACGATAACGATAACGTTAGTTTTTAGAGTTTCTAAAAGTTATCATGTTTTACGACTTGAATATTGTCTATCCAACAACACTTTCCAATTTGAATGTTGGTCATGTTGAAACTCGAAAGAATTTAGAAATGCTGATATATCGTACGTAGAAACAATTACACAAATTTGCATCAGCTTACTGATCTCAAGGAAAAAGAATTTATAAAAAGAAGTTGACTTGCATTACATGGAGGTCTATTTAATTGTTATTTAATAGTCGGCTATCAAGTAATCGCGTACAATTACATTGTTTCAGGCAAAAAATCTGCTAAAGTGAGGTTTTGAGGCATAATTTCCATAAAAGATTAATTCTAATAATTTAATTTCGATCTAGATGACAAACCCTATAAAGAAAATTGAAGTATTTGATACACACTCTTTTCCCACTTTACCTAATAATAAAAAATCAATGACGATACAGCAATTGACACGCTTAACAGTTATTATTGATGATCCCTCTCAAAATTATAATTTAGTAAGATGATTTTCTAAAATTTCATTGTTTTTAAATTAATACAGATATTAATGCTCACAGTAACATAGACTCCCTCAAATCAAACTCTATCAACATATGACATTCTCTCGGTGCAACCCATGAATGAGAAGTTATTCCATGCGGCTTGCAACAACTACGATGTGGATATAATTTCATTAGATCTTGGAACGCGTTTACCGTTTTATTTGAAACACGGGATTTTGGGGAAAGCAATTGAACGTGGTATTTATTTTGAAATATGCTATGCGCCTGCAATTCAAGGTATTTTTTGTTCTTCTTTATTGATAATAATTCAAAAGCGATGCAAGAATTAGATTCAAATATTGATGATATGTAGATTCAACTTCGCGTCGTCATTTAATAAGTAACGCGCAAAATTTGGTTAGAGTAACACGTGGAAAGAATATTATTATTTCTAGTGGAGCACAAAAAGCAATGGAATTACGTGGACCTTATGATATTGTGAATCTGTAAAGTACAAATTATTTTTCTTTTAAACGATAACCAGAGTTACTTATTGTATTGTTAATTAAATAATAATGATTTTAAAAATTCAATAACAGAGGCACAATAATGGGTATGAATCAAGAGGTATCAAAAGATTGTATCTCAACAAATTGTCGAGCTCTATTATATCGTGCAAGTATGCTACTGTTATTATAATCCACTTGGATTCGATTATACTATAATAGAAATATGCTCTGGTTTTATTAATTATTTAAATTTAGTGACTCGTCGAGACGTTCACAAATCCGTAATTGCATCCGCTCCCATCTCCTCAATGAAGCCATATGAGATGTGGAAGCTTGGAAGGGACGAAAATATGTTGAAAGGTCAACAAAGTGAGTCATCAAAAAAAAGAAAGAGGTCAAAGAAGGCGAAAGAAGATAGTGAAGATGACGAAGCTGCTATTCTAGAAGATGTAGAAAAAAACAAAGATGATGATGATGAATTTAATGATGATGGAAAAACGGAAACTATGGAATTTTAATTAGGTAAGAAATTTAGTAAATTTTACTTTAAAACACTGAAAAGTTTTAGTTTGTCATAAAATATGTATACATCCTATTATTTAAAACCTTCTTTAATACATAATTCCTTGATATTATATACTTACCACCATACCGGCGAGTTTTTTTTCGGGTAACGCACTCTATTCCCGGTTCTTTTAGCTTAATATTTGAGCTGTAAAAAAATAACCAAACAGTCAAAGACCCGCCATTAAGGAAACTGAAACAAAAAGAAATCAAATGAAATTAAACAGAAAAAGAAAGATATTTTAGCTGGTTCACAAATCTAAATGCATATGCAATTCTAAAATTTTTAATTGCTTTTCTGGTAAACTTTCAAGTTTAAACTATTTGTTATAAAATATCTAAATAAATATCTAAATTACTAAATATTTCAGAGATATAATTTTATATCTCAAAAAATAAATTTATAAATTAAGATATAAATATATATTTATAATATATAATTGTTTAATAAAATATAAATAATAAATAATAATTAAATAAAGTAATAAAATAATAAGTAAAAAAATTTTAATTATAATAATAGTAATAAATATAACTGATAATAATCAAAAAATTCAAGTAAATAAAATAAATAACAAAATAATTAATTTAAATTAATAATTATTTTATAATTATCATTAAATTAATTATAAATAATTATTTTAGAAAAATAATAAATATATTTTAAAATAAATAATATTATTAATACTTTATTAGAAATAATTCAAATATTATAATATTAATTAATAAAATACAGTGCATTAAGAAAGTCTTTGGACAATTTTATATAATAAAATTATACATATATAACTTTTTTAGAATCAGATAATTAAAAATATATATATAATAAATCTCTAACTTTTTAGATTCCTAACCAAGCTATTTTTTTATATAATTTGATATTGTTAATATAAAATTTTTATATATAAAATTACAAAAAAATTATTTAAAGACTTTCTTAATATACTGTAAATTT